TTTAACACAGATTCAGCAGAAAGAAGAAGACGACTTTAATTGAGATCAAATAAAAAATATAAATAATGTAGAAATAATAATCAATTATAATTATAATTATAATTGTGGGGGATGAGGTGACCGAGTGGTCTGACGCGTCCGCTGCGACGCAGCCGGTCGCGGTTCGATCCTCGGCTACCTGGCGGCATTTTTCTCCGGACAAGTCGCGGTGACCGGAGAACAAGTGCTGTCATCCCGCACCCCCGGGGCATGGCAGAAACCTACGGGTGCCCCATTCGAAATTCTGCCAAAAACAAACACACACGTGTTCCCCCCTATCGTCCCAAAATATACAATACAAACCTACAATACAAATCCTTTTACAGCTAATGGCCTCAGTTGCCGAAGCTTAAGATCAATAAAAAAAAAAAAAAAAATTATAATTGTAACTTCAATATAGACATACAAATTTAAATATTGAATGTTGAAAGGTTATATTAGGTATACATTTTTAATACTGTTATTACTTATTAATATAATCATTAATCATTTCCCAGTTCTACTTTGTTTTTAACTATAGATATTGTAATAAGGTTGCTTTGTCACGTTTTCCTATGATAAATAAATGTCGTTCAAAATATCATTTTTTGTAACAAAGTCTAAAAACCCATGAGATAGATACACGTGTTTCATAATTTGTCCCTATTGTATTACTTATAACTATATCTTCTTCAGTATCATCACTATCATTTTCACTTTTTTCATTTAGTGGTATCCATAATTGGGCCGGGCCGCGAGGGTCTTGCCCCTCAAAATTCTCGGTCTTGCAAGAATTGTACTCACATTTTTTTCGACATGAATAGTAATTATTAGAGTTAGGATGTTGATGAATTTTGTATTATTTTTTTTTTTTGATTCTATACAATGCTATTAGCTAAAAAAAATTTTCATGCTCCCTTAATGCAGAATATTCTAATTATATTTTGCATTTTTTTTTTTGCATTTTTTTTTTTGCATTTTTAGGTATTTTTAACTATAAATGCATTTTTTTGTTTTTTAACGTCATTTATCTACATTTTTAAGTCCTTTTGCATATTTTTTGTAGTTTTTGTACAATGCGGGGGGCATTTTTCTCAAACTTTAGATTTTAAAGAAAATTTGTATAACAATCGAAAAAATCGTTTTAATATCATTATTGTGGGTATTTGTTGTGATTAAATTTATCGCCTACCGATAAGATTTACTGTTTGAGTGTGATACATTGATAAAACAAGTGATCTTTCAGACATGCGGCTATTTTGAATATAATTTTTTTTATTTATATTTTACTTTTTAATTTATTTTTAATAAGTTTATATAATGCTTAAAATGTAAATGTATACTATTGTTAATTAATATAATAATTCAAATTTTAAATTACTATTACACCAATTATCACAACCATATCTCAAATAAAAATTATTATTTATAAATACATTTTTTTTACTTATTTAGTTAGATTTTTTAGATCATTTTTAAGTTCATCATTTGAAGTTTTTAGCTCATTTTTGCATTTTTTTTTTTAGAGCATTTTCGTGTGTATTTTAGGTCATCGACGTCCAAACTGTAGTAATTATCATTAAATGTAAAAAAAAAAATTATGTGATGTTTATGCCCCCTCCCGATTCAAAGTCAAACCCTCTGTCAAATCGCCTCTGTTGAGAATAAAATTACGCCCGTGGCTACCGCAACTCAGAGGTTGTTATAACATTATTATTATTTTTTTTTTTACTTTATTATTGTTATAAGTTATAACCAATAGGTCTAACCACTCTTACATGTAATAAGAAAATGTTTTTGTTGAAAATATTAAAAAAAAAAAATATTTGTGTAGCCAATTGAAAATAATTTGTTGTAGGTACGGTACTTTTAGCAAAAATTACGAACTACAAAACTCGGTACCTATATTATAATCGTATAAGTATAACTATATATCATGCACATAGCATATAAAGCAGTCATTTATCTAAACGTGTTGCAACGTAGTATAAAGGTATATGAGATCGTTAGTGTCCTATAAGATTTTAACCCCTTCCTTAAATCTAAAATAGTTCTAATGACAAATAAAACCGGTACGAATTCTTTTACAATCGTCAATCGTATTCCGGAGCCAATGACTGAAAGAGGTTATTAGTACCTATACCTGCAGCTATACCGGTACAGTATATTTACAAGAAATAATACGAGTTATTCTCGCAGTAAGTAATTTTTAAACGCTTTCATTAATAACTAACCTTAAAAAACTAACAAAATTACTCATATATATTTTATATTTAAACATTGGTCCTTTTAAAATTTCTTTCATATAATTATTTACTAATTATATTAAACCATATTTTTAAATATTAAATTATGAAATTTATAATGATAGTCGATAACTGATGAGACAATTATTATTTTTTAGTGTTTAAGGTTGATACGCAGTAATGTTAAATGTATGATCTTACCTACTATATTATAATTTAATACAAATCACAGATATGAAGCATAATGTCAATGCGTTAAACTAAAATATATTATCGTATTTCTGCATATAATTTGTTTTAAAATGTAGTCGTATCTACATATAGGTACTTACATTAAACACTACAGTCTACAATATAACAAGTCTGTCTATAGTCTCTTTTTGCGATTTGTATGATCCTCACACCTCGATACCTCATACAATGCTTCTGTGGATGTAAATTTCTATTGTCTTGATAGTTCCGCCGTAGTAACGGTAAATAAAATTGTGCCCGGATGCATTTTACCGCAGTAGTGTTTGCTAACAGTATAGTTAAAAAAAAATTTTAGCCACGAAGGTGGTGCATTTTCTATTACTTAAACCATAAAACATAGGTACCTACATCTGTGAAATTATATATGTAATATTCGTTTTCGATACTTTGTAGGTAGGTAAGTATAATTTAATTATTTACATTGGATATACATGATATACATGAGTCGTCGTTATCTACAAAAGTACGCATAAAGGACATTTAGCAAATATAGACACTTAACATGCTGGTGTACTGTTTGTATTATAAATAGGTAACAGGAAATACGAATGATTTATAATATATCATTATGAATATCAATTACTTGGATAATTTAGCTGTAAATTTCAGCAGAATATATAATCTCAAATATATTTGTATAATGTTTAAACGATTGCTTTATTAAATTTCATTTGACATTTATATTTAAGAAATATTATTTTCCAGGTGAAAGTGTTTGAATACGTATTCATTAACTAAAATCGTATATACATACATATATGTCGTAGGCATAGTCAAATCATACATTTTACTAATACCTAGGCAAATAGTCGAAGAATTAAATTTTTAAGCAATTTCACTATCCGCCTTCACATTTAGTTAAATGAATATTTCAAGTCAGAAAAATAATAAAAATGAAACATTTTGTATTGTTTTAAAAATTTAACTATATTTTCTATTAATTATGTATGGATATTTTATATTTAAAAAAGCGATGTATACTTTCTTAACGTGTAAAATACGAAGGTACATGAAATATTTTTAATGTCGTGTCCATGATGGGTACGAGTATAAAAAATGAATAAGAAGGGTATATTATAATTACGAATTTTTATTAATTTTTAGTCATTACTTGTTGTTACATGTTATTGTTTGTTTGGACAGGTGGCATTTGCATATGTATTTTAAATATTTTTAAATCGTTAAAAGAACTTATATCGCTATATGACAAAACAAAATTGTTTTCATCAACCTCTAGAAAAAAATTCAAAAAAAATTAATAAATTCTATAAATAACTCAAAAACATTCAAAATATTTCTAAAAATATACAAATATACAATGCATAGGTCATATACTAATATATATTATACATATAGATTATAAAAACATTTGGTAAAAATATCAAGTATTTATACGGTTATTCGTTTTTAAATTATAATGCAAAATAACAATCAACATTTTTGTATTTACCTATACTATTGTTTTGGGTAGAGAATTCCCATTTTCCCCTAATTCAGTGCTCTCAGCATGAAAATGCTTTAAAACGGCCGGGCCGTTTAGGAGGAGTTCAAATAGGTACACACGTACAGAACAATTATGTATATTATAAAGATAAAATAGTTGCACTGAACTTATGACAATTAACAGTAAAACAAATAATTATACATACAACTTTTCGCAATTAACATTTTTTAATTTTTTAAACCATGAAAAAAAAAAATTATAAGTTAACCAAATTTAACAAAATATTAGGAATCATTAACCTAGTTTCACAGATTATAATACATTATGTCACATATATCTTGTGCTTTATACCTGATTATAATTAAGAAAATTGATGATTGAAGAAATAAATTGTCACTTCTGAAGAGTATAAGAAAAAAATTGTAAATGTCCAGATTTTTCCCCAAAATTATATCATACTTTATATGTTATTTTGACAATCAGAATAGGCCTATTAATATGAGCGTAATGGGGTTACATTTATAAACATTTTATTAAACAACAGACTCCGAACACGATTTGGTGGCTTTGGTAGTAACTTGTAATGTAACAATGTTAGGTTATTGATAATATGTGAAATATAACGTGTCTTGGCATGATTTTTGCCGGTTATATATTTCGTATTTCTGAAAAAAAAATGTTCACTATAGACCTATTAATATAATACTATTTTCTGGTTTATGGTTTTCCCGAGCTTTTGACCAACATCAGAGAAATTTTGTAATTCATATAAACACGTCTTTCACCAGGTTAAACGAAAAAACACTCCTTTTTTATAAGTAGGTATTAACTGTAATAATACTTGAAAAAGATACTGTAGAGTAAAGAGACTACCAAACAAGTGACCATTTACAGACTTAGCTCAAAAAATGTACTAGTACCTAAAAAAGAGACCAAATGGGTATAGCATAACTAGAAATTTCATCAGAGGGCCTCCTCTCTTGGGGGGGGGGGGGGCAACCAAGGATTTTTTTTTAATTTTCACCACAATTTAAGTTTAATATAATTGGTAGCTATGACGGAAGCGGGGCACTTCCTCCCTCCTCAAATGGGTGCACTGCTGATTTGTTTGTTGTTATTCCCAAATATGAGAAAAGTACCTACTAGGGTTTTATACTTTTCTCAAAATACTAACTAAATGCAACTATTGCTACCAGAAACAACACTCAAAGACCAAAGTTGAAATTCTAAGTATTTTAACAGCTTCATAAGACGATGAAAGACAATGAAATAAAAACAATAGGTACATGTTATCACCCCGCTCAGAACCTAAAATTAAGGGGAAAAAAATAAAATAGTTATCTTGAACAAAACCAGTTTTCGACAAATTCAATTCTCAGGCGATTCAGAAAACCTTGATACCCCAGTCCCTCGGAGTCGGCACTTTAACCAATGCGTTACGATTATGGAGTGCAAATACTCGACAGCCGTCCATGGCTCATGTCATGAGAAATACCACAAGGCACAAGTTGGATTATTTAGTTTTTATTCACTGCAGTACTGTTTGTTTTGTATTCGTTATCGTTGCCGGGCGGCCCGGACGTCGCGATGCTGACGCCGCCGACCACCGCGCCGCCCGCCTACGAAGCGCCGCACGAACGCAGTGTGGTGGTGGTCTACGTGCAGCACACAATAACGTAATTTCAACGCAGCTGTACTAAAATAATACCCATGCAATGAAGGTCTATTCGTTGTATCATTATGTCTATTTTGTGTTCAAGAGACGCAAAACGATGGCGGGATGCACGCTGATGGCTGGCGTGATGCTGCTGTACCTGACCGTGGTCGTGCGACGAAACGCCGCCAGCGATGATTACAGAACCGCCGAACAGATGCCGTACTTCGTGTGAGTATTAATGGTGTTATCGTTAAAAGTTACTACTGCAATAATTTGCCGTCGACGACATATTTTGTTGTTGTTGATTGTGTATTTACGTCAATCATCTCGCGTCTCGGGATAGAATTAGAATATCAGCGGGAAATGCGTAGGTCGCAGATCTCGTGATAGTAGATGCGCGCACGCGCGATACAAATTTTACCGCCAGACCTTCTCATTCCCCCTTAATAATAATAAATAATCATATACCCTATCCGGCGCACTATTGCTACTGCAGATGGCTTCAGATCTCATGCACTCTTGACGGTTCGGACAAATACAGTAAACCGTTATTTCACAATATTTGGTTTTACACTATACCGAGTAGCGGACTACGACCTTATCAGCCTGCTCACTGCTGTCTAACAGTCCAACTTACTGTCCGAGTCCGACTATAACGTCCCGGCTGATCGCGAATCGTTGTCCAATGTCCATTTATGACCGAGACTCGGGTACTGATAAAGTGATAAATGATAACACAGTCGTCCCCTTCCGGACTGCAGCCGCGACTCGGGTTGGCCACACTGTTTATCCGCTGGCCGCTGCGAGCAGCCGCCGCCGACTTAGTTGACGCGACGTGCCGACATCTCCGCTGTCGCAGTCCATGCCCTGTTATTTGTCCCTTTAATTATAATAATATTATAACACATTGTAATAAGTCGAAGCACTTCCTTCGTCCCATACCTACTTGGCGCCAAAATCCAAAGAGATACCATTAGATAATATATTTTTCCTTTTTCCGTGGACAATGAATCTAGGACAACATTACCCTCAGAACATTAAATTTTCCCACCCACTATATTCTTAAAAATATATTCTAACAATATCGTCGAAGTGTGTGATAAAATAAAATAAAATATATCACCAAATATTTTGTTGAATACCTAGTACCGATGTATTTTTTTATACTAATCTAATTGGTATGTAGGAATGTACAATATAGAATAATAGGTACCTATTATAGGTAAATACTACCTACGTACCAAAATAATGATAAAAATAATACACCTATACGTTTGGTTAGGATAACCCTAAACCTACCTAAGTAATGTTAAAATAAATGAAGTATAATTCGTATAAATATAACGTTAAATGTTATAGTTAAACGATTTAGATTGTTTAACAATGAAGTACATCCAACATAGACATTATACATTTTGTAAAAAGTGACTTGGACTGTATTTCTTATTTTTATGTATTTTAAGTTCATTAATTTATCTCTAATATTTACATGTTAAATGTTTTTTATTATACCTCCGCATAAAAACTAATATATTTCTAACAAAAAAATATCATGTAAATATCCACTAGAAATTTAAAATTCACATACTGATGAAATAAAGCTTTAAAAGTTCGATTTTTTTTCTGAAAACCTTGTGCTTGAAGCATTTGTTATTATTCTAAGTGTTCGTTCATAGCTCTTTCGTTGTCATGGTATCTGATTTTGCAATATTTTAGTTTCCGATTCGAAATTGTACAGACTACAGGATGATTATTTAAGTAGATGTTCATTGTATTTGTATATAAGTTAATAATAGTTTTAAATGGTTGGAATTTTGTGTTAAGCAATAGGTAACTATTATGAATACATTTTTAATACATGGACATATTTGTATTTGAAAATCAAGTAGGTACTTTTCAAAATTCAAAAGAATTACTATTATTATTATTATTTATCACATTTCAAATTATTATTTTTGATAATCTTCATAAGGTTCATTGTTTTTTTGTAATCAAAATCAAATTATCAAACATTTATTTATTTTACATTTCATTTACAACCGTTTATTTTTTAATTTATTAAAGTATTTCAGAGTTGAAGTAATATATCATTAAATTGTTCAGTATAAATTATAAAATTAGGTAGCCAAGTAGGAAGTCTGGTAGTCAAAGTTCTAAATTATAATTACAATTAAATGAGACATTATAATTTCAAATTAGTAATTACTCATTACAAAATTAAAGAAGAAAAATTACAAATAGTATTGGTATTTGTTTTTCAATACTTTTTGAATGGATGTATTTGTATAATTGAATCAGTTTTTGATTACAATATCATAAGTATTTTTTCAAGACTGATTTCAGTGTCTTCCACACTCATTAAGACATAAGTATTTAAATTATATACGAACGTCATTTTCGACTTCTGAAGGTCACAACCTAGTTCCATTTCAATACATACTAATATTTCGATGGCCGATAACTGCATACGAGTGTCGAGTACTATTATAGTGTTATAGATATTCCTTCCTGGGTTAAATAGATATCCGATTTCCGTTCACAATTTGATAATTTTTTGTTTTATATTTTTAATGTTATGTAAACATATACACACAATATACAAAACAACTTAAATAACTAAATGAGCAAAAATATAATTTTAGCCATAATTTGTTTACATTATGTTCGCCAAACGTGTGGTCACTAGTCTATGTCGTAGTAGATACTATGCGTAATTTAATCTAATTGACTAATTACGTACATTTTGTTCTACATTAAAACACAGTCCTCGTACATAAAAATAAAGTATGTTTCAAATATAAGCTAATAAGTAATAAGTATAACAATTTATTATTATTATTGACATAAGATGCATGGCGTGCATTAACAATATAAAATTACTTGAACGTCTTCAACTGTTATAATTTATAAGTTAGGTAACTACCTATATAATTTTATATAATATATTATATGTAACGCGCTGTGGCGAGGAGTCTGGCTTCGGTCACAAATGTGCTCTGACTGCCAGCACCGGCCAGTCCATTAGTTCCAGGATGGGTGACCACTAAGAATTATTAATCAATTATCCATCTAAGAATTTAAATTTATACATATTTAGTTTGGCCCTTTTAAACACAGTGAAACCAGCCTCTAGTAATTAGTGACAACAACCCCCAATGAAACTATTTGATAACAAAATCAACTTTATAAGTGATATTATCACTTTTCAATACAGACGAAAATTACACAACAAAATATATATTAATATTTAATAGTATTAATACACAGTTATTATAGTGCCTATATATAAATACCAAATATCAAACGTATTTAAGGAGAAAAAAATTACTCACGGACTTAATGTCTTAATGGTCACATTTTTTGTTTTGAAATTTGTCATACGACTACAATCAGCTCATAGCTGACATAAAAAGTTATTTTTTTATTGTGATAATTAATGTTCATATAGCGAACATAAATACCATATAGTTTCAGAGTTATATTAGGTAACATTGTTACCACTAGCCCTGGTCTCCTCTACTTTGTTTTATCGCATTGAAATAATGTCCCTACTAAACAGGTGTTAGTTTTACTATGAAACTTAGAAAAAAAAAAAATTTATAAATTATGCTTGATAAATTATTGGTTTTTTTTTAAATCTAATAAATTTAAAACACTACTCAAATCTTTACTAATTTGATAATTCATGTGAAAACTCCTAAATTCTTAATTATTTTATACCGTTACTTATATAATCGTTAGAAATTACATTATAATTATAAATACATTTTAATGTTTGAGCTGTAGATCATTTTTTTTTAAACAGTAAAATGTGTAGATACTGTGGATACAGTCACGGGCAGCAGTATTGTAAAAAAATTACAAATTTAGTTTAAGTAACACATCATTATTATTATCACTATAAATTATAATATAGTACTGTATGTATTATATTTCACGATTCAGTTTAATAACTGAAATTATCTTTATATTATGTTTTGAAAATATGTTGTTATTTAGTAGCTAAGAGCCTAAGTATAAAAATTACTAAAATTTTAATTTAAAATAATATGTCAACATCTAAATATTTATGATGTACTTAAAGTTCTTATAATTTGATTACCTAGGTGAACCTTTTTATCATTAACAACTTCCAATACTAAAAAAACGGCCATATGAGAGGAATAAAAACCTTTACGAGTTGGCCAATGCCAATAAGTACCAATATATACCTGTATAATTTAATGATTATTTTTAAATTGTAATATTTTAGATCGATACTCACCGCTTGTATACAAATTTAAATATCGTAAAAACCAACTTACGTACACAGATAATGTTTTTGTTTAAGTTGACAAGTGAAAATAGTTAACCGATAACTACAATATATGTTTAGTTTATTATTTTGTGATAATATTGTTTACAATTCTATTTTTATAAGCCTCTACATGGGTATAGGGATAAAATCCCCCCCTTCATAGGTTTATGATTAATCTTAGGAAAATTCCTAAATGAACTAAAATCCAGCGTACTCTATACTGACTACAACAATAATATTTTAATAAAGTTACTTATTAAATTGTTTGTAGCAAGTCATATAAATGTATCAACAATACATGTATTGTCAGCAAACTACCATCAGTGGAAAAAGAAAACATTGGACTTGATGGGTCTATAGACGTTTGTCGTTTAACTTGTGGACGCTATGGATCACTTTGGCCAAAGCCAACAGTCAATACAACTATAGGGTAAACATAAACTTCACAATATTTTTTAGATTCAAACTAATCATGTATGTAATTGTTTGATTTGTTATTATAATATAATAGGAAATCTGTGATTGAATTTGGTCTCGATAATATTAAATTTGATACATCGTTGATCGCTGACCAAATGAGCAAAGAATACATGTCTGAAGTGACTCAAGTTTTTGTATCGTCCTTAAAAAAACTTTGCGTCCCAAATTGTGTTTACTACGCAATTACTCCAATTATATCTATAACTACAAGTACTGCATTTGATTATATCAAATTGACAACCAACGAAAGTTATAGTTTGAAAACAAACACCGAAGGTATTTAATTATTTACTTCAGATATATTGAAGCTGATTGAAACTTTATACCGGCGTTTAATTTTTAGGAGATCGGATAGTAATTAATATTGAAGCAAAGACCGTTTATGGGGCGAGAAATGGATTAGAAACCTTACGACAACTTGTTGCTACTTACGGTTCAAGTGTGTCTGGAAAAAAATTGGTAATGGCCGGCGATGTTCAAATAAGTGATCAACCTATGTATGCTTATCGTGGTTTCATGCTGGATACCGCTAGACATTATTTCCCAATGGAAACTATTAAGAGACATATTGACGCTATGGCTCATTCCAAATTAAATGTATTTCATTGGCACGCCACCGATTCTCACAGTTTCCCTTTGGATTTACCTAGCGCACCATTAATGTCGAAGTAAGTTTACTTAACATTTAACAAGAACGATCTAATGAGCAATGATATTATATCAATAAGTAAAATAACATATATAACTGTATATACACATTAGTAAAATATTTTACGTACCTACGCTATTAGTGTATTGTTCATATTTATCATAAATAATTGTATTATTTATATATCACACAAGTTATTTCGTGTTTCATATTTTAGATTCAAAGTCGAGCGATGAATGTATTGATTCTACAATAATGTTTTTTTTTTTTGTGTGTGTACTCGATAAGTTGTTGAAATAAAGCTTTGATATTCAACTTCAGTATCTTTTCCGAGGGAAAAGTGAATCTAGTTGGTGCACTCGAAGGTCAAAGATTCCTAGTAGTATTCAAAAACAAAAAAATTGAGGAAAAACCGAAATTTTTAAGTAAAATTGGTTTTTGGTGTAATTTAAAAATATTGTTCGTGGGTACATGAAACTTCTATAGTATATTATTATATACAAATAGAATAATATGCAAATAATATTACTTCAACTTAACCTAACCGTAATACCGTATTAATAATAACAATATAAATATAATATAAAATATGCTAGGCTGACAGCAGGATTCTTCGCTCAGAATCGTTTTAGTATACAATGATATTATATTATTTAATTCAATTTCAACACCATCCATTACAGTGGCCCACTTATAACATACTGTACTGCAGAGTGTCACCCACTTACCCTCTGTTTTGTCTTTAATTTTTAGATATGGTGCCTATAGCCCTGACGAAATCTATTCATTCAAGGAAATTAAGGATCTTCTCAGATATGCATTAGTCAGAGGAGTAAGAATTATTATTGAGATCGATTCTCCTGCACATGCGGGTAACGGTTGGCAATGGGGTAAAGCATCAGGTTATGGTGACATGGCAGTTTGTGTGGACAAAGGACCTTGGAGAAAATACTGTGTACAGCCGCCATGTGGACAGCTCAATCCAATCAATACTAATACGTATAAATGGTTGGGAAAAATTTATAAGGACTTGATCAATGTACTACCAAAAGGAGAAGCATTCCACATGGGTGGTGATGAGGTTAGTTGTACATAAACTGTTCTTAAATATTTTAATATCATTTGCTGTATATAGGTCGCTCTAAACTGCTGGAATACTACCACTGAGATCACTAATTGGATGAAATCCAACAATCGAAGCTTAGACGAAGAAGGTTACTTGGACTTGTGGTCTCAATTCCACTCTAATTCGTTAAGCGAATACGATAAAGAAGCTGGTGATGTTAATTCCGATATGATAGTTTGGTCTAGTGGTCTGACTGAACCCGAAATCATAGAGAAGTATCTTGACAAAAAAAGATATACAGTTGAAGCTTGGGAAGGATCAAATATTCCAGTTGAACTTGTTAAATTAGGCTATAAAGTTATAATTGCCTTAAAGGATGTTTATTATCTGGATCACGGTTTTTGGTCTTCGACTATCTATCATAATTGGAAACAGATTTACAACAACAAAATGCCGAAAGTTGACAATCCAAATCTTGTATTAGGCGCAGAAGTATAAGACTTTATGAATGTCATATTTAGAATGCATCATTTGAATTTAAAATTTTAAAATTTATTTAGACATGCATGTGGTCTGAATATGTCGATGATAAGGCTGTTGATTCCAAAGTATGGCCAAGAGCTGCAGCTTTAGCTGAACGTCTGTGGTCAAACCCAACTACAAATTCTCTGTCTGCTGAATACAGGTACACATAAGACAATTATTAAATTCTGTAAAATTTACTCTCCTCACATAGACACATTCCTCTAGCAATGCATTTTTTTTTAAACTGCTCAAGTCCATACGTGTCAATACTGCCAACGAAACGCACCATCTTCGGTTAGGTTAGGTTAGGTTAGGTATAGGTACGATTTGTCATATTCGTATAGGTACGATTGGTACAAATCTCTTAATGTTAAATTCAATCGTGTCGTGATACGTACATCTTGATTCTTGACGGTACACTTCTGTGTGAAGCTGAACATATGTTTCATGAGTAACCTAACTTTGATTAACCTAACCTCCTAGATTCAACACGGAATTATTTTTCAAATTTTTGAAATCCACGTAACAAATTATCGTATATTAAAAAACATTTGTAAATTACTTAGAACTATAAATAGTTTGAAAATTGAAGAGAAAAAAACTTATACCTAATAACCTACAAAATACATTCTGCATTTATTAATCTTGGGTGTCTTTCTCATAAACTCAACAATTAGATTTTTATTTTAACACATTGTTTTATGCTATGAAAGTTCCACCAATCTTATAAAGTTAATATGTATTTAATTAATATTTATTTTATTTACATGTTTGTAGATTTTTACAACATCGGGAAAGACTGGTAACACTTGGTATTAAAGCAGATACAGTGACGCCAGAATGGTGTTACCTCCATGAAGGGAAGTGTATTATAGATTAATAATACATTTATGGTTCTTTTATAAATTTAAATTTTGAATTGGTTTAAATTATGCCATATTGTAATATGAATATTTTATTGTTCTTTATCAATGTACATACAACAATTATTTAATTACCTTTATGTAAAGGCCAAAAGATGATATATTTATCTTGAATCACTCATTATTTCATTAATTATTAATGATTTTGAACATTTTTCTTGTATTATTACAAATATTAAAAAACTAAAAATTATATTTTTTACTATTTGTATCGTTATATGTTTTAAGTTTTTATTTTTTTGTACGATAACATACATTTTTATTTTCATATTCTGAAGCAGAATAATATTAGGAATATTTCAATATGTAAAAACCAAATTTATTATGAGTAGGTAATTATTAGTATTTACTAGCGGAATAACCATTATTTTGCAGGATGTCCCTATGACACTCCACAACACTTATCTAAACTTTAAAGTTATAATATCCATTACTTATAAACTAATCGTTAAATTTTGATTTATATTCATTGAAGTATTTTCTATGAAAAATATTCTAGAATAATCCATTAAAAATGCAAGTACTTAGTCATTAAAAATTTTAAGACTTTAAAAAATTATTTAATATAATATAAATATATAGTAAAAATATATTTAATTAAAAATGTTGTTTTTTTTAATGACTTAAAATTATGTAAAAGAAATACATATTTTCTACAACGTTAATTGTTTTTAAAATAAAATGAGGTTCATGATTGTCACCAAGTATAATATATTTATAAATCATTACAATTGTTATTATAAAGCAATATATTTTAATAAATAGGTACCTAATCAATTGTTGTCAACATATTAAAAAGCAATAAGTTACTCTATAATATATATTAAAGAAAAACATTTTAAGCGCAATGTATTCAAATGCATTTCAGTTTTATATAAATCAAAATATTCTTAAAAATTATTACGGTATTTAGCTTCGTAATAATTTTGCATAGCTCGTCTCAAAACTGCAATTGTGAAATCCACGTCATCTTTCGTTACACACATGGGAGGCATAAAGCGCAGTACCTGCAAGAACGTTGTCATAATAATATTATAAAGTGATTAGAAGACTGAAACATTTGTAACGTATTTAATTATAATTAATATACAGGTTATAAATTGTTATCTTTTAATTTATTAATTATTTTTGTACATATATATCATATAATGATACATGAATAATTGAAAATTATTATTTTAAGTTTTCTTTTTGAAAACTACAGTGTATTTTGACTTTATTTAACATGATATAACCATATCCTAGCTTTTGAAACATTAAAACATGAAAATTATATAAATAAATGAAATATGTAAATGATAACAACCTATTGACATTTTTAATAGTTTATAGTTTATACTGTATCGTGCTAATTCGTGCACAACTAATTTCTTGTCTTAAATGTTAAATCCATCATAGACATAGTATATAGCAATCGACAGAACATTTGCCCCGAGGCTCCAGGAATAAGGGTGGTCGTGTGAAATAGATTAAGAGAGATGGCTTGAGTAGTTGAGTTGTATTATAAGAGTAAGAGAAAATTAGATGAGTACTGTTTTGAGGACAGCCAATTAGAGTGATTGACACATTGATTAGATATTAGGAACCTCGTAACAAGCTCCATCATCAATATACTTATAATATAGGTATTGAAATAGGTATTATAATGTTCCGTCTATTTCTATAAGTATATGGTTGTAAATGAGTAATGACAAAGAAAGAGAAAATAATTAATTACTTTTAAAATGTATTTTAGGCAGTTTTTATTAATTACTATGCTTGTATAACATAATAATTAATATTATATAGGTACTTACATTTGATCGAACTCCTCCGACCCCAAACAAAAGTCCCATTTTTAAGCAATCGTTTTTAATACGGGAAATGGCTCTGCAGTTAAGTGGATTAATTATGCCCTTATCGCTATCGTCTTGATCGCCGTCTATTAACTCCACGCCAATCATCAGTCCTTTGCCTCGCACGTCACCGATTATTTTCCATTCGCGTCTCATGCCACACAACTTTTCTAGGAAATATGTACCCACTTCCAAACAGTTTTTCTGCAAACCTTCTTCGTCAATCACCTGGAACACCAATTTATTGCAATATACATATTATTTTGTACGACACTACTATACCCTACCAAAATCAATACCTTCTATTGAACCCTCGTATAAATGCGTAATATACATATTACATATTATACGTATGTATAATAAATAATGTTATGTGGTGTGCCGTATTATAATAATTAACTTCTGATTGATTTACATAGAAACTAATGAAAAATAATATTTGTGAATGAACATTTAACTCTTGTAAAACACTTTAAATTTTTATTGATTCAGTTGTTTTATCAAAAATTTAAAAGTAATTTGTCTATCTTACAAACACGAGACATATTACACGCGTGCATACTAATTATTAAATACTGAACAGTGAACATAAATATTATACCATTGTTTTTTTTATTTTATTATTATATTATTATATTTTATATGTGATTGCCGATTGATGTATTTTATTTTTATACGTTTCAATCAATACAATTATTACTGTACAAAAATAGTTTGTTACAAAATAAGTTTTGCTTGCGTCCCTGACGATACGTATTTGCATATAAATCATACCTACTTACTGATATTTAAAAAAAAAATTAATTTCTGTGATCACATCATTAAATCGTGGAATTACAAGAAGCAGTACTAAAATTCATATCTCGAAATATTTCTAATAACATTCACATTATTTTTGCTGCTGTTTGCTAGTAATCAAAATCAAAATACGAATTTTGGAAAAATTGGTAATTAAAAAAGTTAAATCCCCAAACGAGTAAAACGTCGAAAATGAATGTTTTCTTAAAAAAAAAAATTGGTTATTATTGAAACCATTCAATCAGTTATCTACATTTTGGTGTATACGTTAAGTAACTGTATAGTTGTAAATAAATTATAGCGATCATATTTGGCATGGAGCATACCACACGTCATATATATGGTGATCAGGCGATGTGAGATTATACATTCATACCGTCCCGTAAGTTCATACTTTATTTGGTAATTGAACGCTCTCCAGTCAAAATATATTGATGCATAGATGGTTTGCTAACCTTTAACACCGAAACACCTACGGCACACGAAACAGGATTGCCACCGAAAGTGTTGAAATGAAAAGCCGAATTCAACGACCGTGCAATCTCGGGCGTCGTGACTACAGCGGCCATTGGAAAACCGTTCCCGATGCCTTTGGCCATTGTCACAATGTCTGGTGTGACACCGTGCGATTGGAAGTTCCAAAAATGTTCGCCAGTTCTACCGAAGCCAGTTTGCACTTCATCGGCCACGCACAGGCCACCGTTGCTCCTGATCAGCTCGTAGACTCTTTTTAAATAACCCCTCGGGAATTGAACGATCCCACCGACGCCCTGTGGAATACAACATTTTAAGCCAACTGGTCAAACTACTATAATTGTTATAGACTTATAACTTGTAACTATATAAGTCCAAGTAGATTTGTAAATTTGTAAATGGCGGGCCAATTCACACATTTATAAACACTGGTCGAGCCAACAAAAGAAAGAATATTTTTATTCGTATTTTATGACAAACATATAATTATAATAATATAATATAATACACAAATAAGTTATCATATTATTATAGAATACGTATAGATTGGTATTACCACAGCGCCATCTCCCGCAGGCCGCAGCCTTAGTTTTTTTTTAAAATTTATCACACTTCAAAAGTTCAAACACTAAAATTATTAAATATATGTTTTCTAAGGAGGATCAAAAAACAGGCTCGTGGGCTGCATTGAACCACTCTCCTCGCTATAAATCATAGATAAGAGTATACGACTTATAGGCTATAGCAATATTATACGCATGCAAGCTGCGTAACTTAGTCATGTTTGTGCAGGGTTGTAAGGTGGGGGGAATTGAAACTTTTGAAAACTAAGTAATTTATTAGGCGAATTTAAAATCAGAGTTTCAGTAATAATAGTGTTCGGGCCGTACGGTGGTTGTTGAATAAATTTTAATCAAACGTACGGAAATTTGAATACAATTATTTTTAATTTTTTTTGAAACACTAAAACCTGGTGGTTTTTTGCCTTTTTATTTTATGTTTTATTTATTTTATATTTTGGTCACATTTGTCGCACTTCTGGAATTTGGCGATTGACAACGCATCGGTCGTAGTTGTCGGTAGACTAAATTCAATAATGTAACGACACAGCCCGGAGCGAGATGATCGTGCTTTTATCGTTTTCAATTTGAGACCGATCGCTATCGATGTCAAATATAGTTTGCGATTATAATATATCACAGGTCAAACCTGAATGGACTCGGCAAAAAACCCGGCCACCTTTCCACGAGGTATCGAATACGAGAAAATGTCTTCCAGCTGTTCGTAGTACTTGTCGGCTGCTCGGCAATGAACCCGGTCACATTCGCAAGATCGCTGGGTCTGCACAGGAGAGTCCCTGCACTTCTTCCCACCCCAGATACCTTTGAACACGTCAGGGCACATCGCGTGGTGAATGAAGTTACCGGCAGACGTGTTGGTGAACTTGGCCGACGCCAATGCCGTCAGTCCATGTAGATTTCCGGACACGCCGTGGTAGCAGTTCTGAATGGATATCACATCATGATTGCCGCTGTGCAGGCGAACCAGCTGCATTGCCAGTTCATTGGCTTCGGACCCGCTGTTTACCAGGTACACGGTCTGTAACATTCGAACGATATATTATATAGATTTAATAACAAGAATTTTTAATATATTATGTAAATTTTACTTAAATATACATTTAGAAAAACGGAATGACTCTCAATATAATTGCAAATGTTTAATCCTATTATTTTCTCTAAAAAACGCCCTTTCTGAATAAATATACCGTTAATAAATGTTCATTTGGGTTAAAGTAGACTCTCAGATTTTTCCAATATTGATACTCTGCAGTCACTCAGATACTCAACAATATGGAAGGTATGACCAATATTTAGCATTTTTATTCAAATGCATTAAATGTAACACAGATTCTACATTTCTTATTGATCGTTGACTATTTAAATTTTAAAGTGCCTATAGTCGATACACCAATAAAAGATTTATCTTACACAAAAAATAATATGAATAAAGAATAGTGGAATCTTCTTTTTTAAACGTACTATTGGCGGCAGGTAATAAGGAAAATATTGATTTTTTCAGTTATAATAATATTGATAAATTCAAATGATGTCATCTTAATATGAAAAATTAATAATTCAAAACATTATTTTTAATTTGTTGCAATCTTTAAGTTTTTTTATTTATTAAGAATATTTACAATCTGTGTTAAAATGACATAATAAGAAAATATGATAATTTATGTATAATTATTGTGAATGATATGAGGACTGAGGAGGGAGGCCGTAATAGAACCTAATGTGATATATGCTGTATCTTATGTAAAAAATATTTTATATTTTATATTGTTATTGTAGGTAACTATATATGCCTAAATATTATTATTTGTAAATGGAGCTTTTAAGTAATAAAGATTATTTATTAAATAAACTGTATGTTAATATAATAATGTACATAATTAATATTATGTGAGCATGACCTGCACTGTGCTGACTTCAGTTTCGTCCAACATAGTATAGGCAATAAAAAAGATATATACATACCATAATAATATTATTATATAAATTATATATTATATTATATTATATTATATATTATATTATTATATATTATATAATCCGCAACGCGCACAGGTCTCGAAAAAAATAGTCATCAATTTTTTTTTTGTATCGACCAATTTATGTCAACTGATGCATGAATATGAAAAACATACAATATTTTGAAGATACACATTGACAACGAATAATATGTAGTTTATTTTTAATATTATGTATAGTATACTATAACCAAGTAAACCGATATAGGGCTGTCAGGTTATTAGAATGTATTATACATATTATATTCCATAAGTATTTATTTATCCTCAATTACCATTCACATACTGTACCAATCATCTACTGAGTCTGGCAAAACTCCGCAGTAAAAAAAAAAACAGTCAAAGTCAATTCAGCAATACAGCATATAAAACCGGGTAGTTGGTACCATACAGTTCAATTTTGAAGTGTTTTGAATTTTGAAATACATAAACTTTTCTCCGTTCGTGCGAGATTCGATGGCTTGAAATGATATAATTGGTCAAAAAGTGCATCGAGATAATGATGGAACCTTGGCCCTTGTGATGAGCTTTGTGGACTGTTAAATATCTCACAACCCATCATCATTGAACAGGAGTCATATATTATCAATTTACTTTACGTAACCCACCTTTAGGTCTCCCGGCATTTTTGACACAAGCGCTTCTACGTACTCATACATTTTCGGATGCTCGTACGCTCCAGACACGTGACCCAATATACTTGACTGCTCGGCGATTGCTTCAGTAATTCGTCTGGAATTTATTTTATAAATTTTTTTAATGTTTGACTTTTACGTTCAATTCTTTGTTTGGACAGCTATATGCCTATATTATATACTCTATACTGACGGATGACAGTGACCTACGCTAACGGTAGCTATGCCTCCAAACATGTCTAAGTACCGCTGGCCCTTGTGATCGAATAGCCATTGCATTTTACCTTCATGTAAAAGTAGAGGTTCTTCGTACATCTGTACTTGAGGAAACACATTGTCCAATTGCATAGACTGTGCTTTTTCGTAAGAAAGGCCCTGAAAATAAAAATGTATCATACACAAGCGTATTATATGTAATAAACGTATTGTTGCAAACACCATTCTAAACGCTTGCAGTCACTTGTACACTTAAAATTAAAAACTTTCCTTCAAAATTTAAAAGAAGAAAGTTATCTATTTAATACATATTATATGTATACATTAAATATATTTTACTAAAAATATTTTTAATTGTATATACCTATTATGCCTAGGTGTATTAGTAAATAGATTATAAGTTTATTACTTTTGACTAATGAACAATTTTTTATTTAAAAAAATAATATATTTCATTTTCAAAGTTTACATGTTTGACTCAAAGTACGTAATTTTATCAATTTCCTTATGTCCTGACTTTTTAATAACAGTCCTTATCGGGAAGCCTTTTAACCGTTTTCATTAGTCGTTCTATTTAATATAGTTACGTCAAACAGAAATTAAAAACATACTGTGTATGGATTCGGTAATATAACTACAAGCTAAAAGCTAATGCATTCATGAATTTCGTGGTCTTTGAACACTTTAAAAATAATTAATTAACTCAAAAACATCAATTTGAATGAATTAAAAATGATTCACCCTATCGAGATAAAAGACAATATAGTTGCTTACAGCAGCGGTTCCCAAATTTTTACGACCACGGCACCCTTAAAAAATTGTTTGTGTTTCACGGAACCCTAATGTCTAATCCAACTCAACTACAATTTTTGTGAATTAAAAAAGGAAAATCAATTCCTTAAACTCTCAAGTCTAAATAATATTTTAATGATACTGTTGATGACTTTTCATTATTAAACTTAGTTTCAACAAAATTTTCAATCAAACATTTTTTAAACAACAAACATTAAATAAACATAATTTTCTCAATAAACTCATACATCTAACGGAACCCTTGACATTGTCCCACGGAACCCTAAGGTTCCGCGGAACACACTTTGGGAAACGCTGGCTTACAGACATTATGGTATTACGGTTAACAAATATATTTAATATATTTTTTGAGTCAATGTATTAAATTCAATTTAGGTGCATGCATAAAGCATTTTATATAACTTTCAATATGTACGTAAATATTTTCAAAAATAAAGATACTTTACTTTGTACGGTAAAGGTTTGAAATCAATCGGAGGTAATTCGGGAGACAGCCTCGAGGTTGTATAATGTTTATTGAGGCCTACAAAACAAACACAAATTAAATGATTGGTTACACAATTTTATTTTAAATGTTGTAACATGAATAAGCAATAAGCATTTACTATATTTCTGGATACAAAAATATTAGTTAATTAAGATGATGACGTGGCGTTAACGCGCATGTGCTGCAGTCTCCGTCTCACTAACGGACGAAATAGCACATTAGCGTTCAGCAGAAGAGATTAAATATTAGAGTGAATTTACCTATTATCACAATCATAGGTAAGAACATTATCTATGTTCTCTAACTGCTCATTGATTTTATGCAATATTTTAATTTTTAAGCGAGTTATTGGCATTTTTAAATAGCTATTAATACTCTAAATAAGTCTGTAAAAAATTTAAATGTCGTAAAAAATAACGAAAGAACACAGATAATATTATTATTTATTACCTTTAGGCTTTAAGTTTGACAAAATTCAGTAAATTCGCTCCAATATATTTTAATCTAAAAACACAAAATTGGAACTGCTGAAAGTAAATTTTGGTATATTATACGTTAGTGGGATAGAAACAAAATACTATTATGCGGGCACTATGTCGGTACTCCTAATGCTTATAGATTTGATAAGTATTATAATTCACAAAATAATAAATATACTTCAATACCCTTATAAGTTATAAATTATAAAAATATAATAAAATATAAAATACAACATTAAGCAGTAAGTCAAAATATTGTATAATATCGACAATTTGACATGTAGAATATGGCTATACAAACGTACTATGTATATGTGTTATGTACAATGTACATAATATGATAATTTTTTTAATTATTATTGTTACAGTGGTGTTTGAATAATTTTACATTTTTCTTTTTAAAATTAAACTGAATTTATAGTGTTGTTTGTTAGTCGTTACTCGTTAGTCGTTACAAATAAATGACACAGTTTTATAATGTATTAAGACCCATAGATACCTCTATAGGTAGTGAGGGCATATATATTGACCTGTGTTCACAAATCATGGGAGTCAAAAGTTTTTTTTTTATATAGGTAGGAAGTGTGGAATACAAAATTAATGTGTATGTTTTTGTATACAATCTGCAGCAAATAATATATACAAATAAATATGATATTAAGATTTTCTGTGGACTTCTTACCCAAATACCCCCAGTGCAACCCAAACGGAAAACATCTATTGTTCGTTGGTTCCCTGCAAGAGGCTCGCAACTCCCGTCGAATGTCGAAAAACCAAAAAAGGTTTTACGAATACAAAAATTCAGTAGATATTTGACATTTTTGAAAAACACTGTTACATGTTTAACCAACCCTCTTTTGAGACTGAATTTAATTCAAAAAATATTGTTTGTAAATAGGAGACTTGAAATGTTCAACAAATATTTATTAACATTTTCTAAATATTATACCTGTATAATCAACAAAATATTTTTGCATGTTTTTAGCTGTTTGCAAACATTTGAAATATTCTACTGTACTTAAGTTTTTTCGATTTATGTGGATGAAAATTTTATTTCTAACTAAAATTGAATACAAGGTTCTTCATAAGTAGAGATAGGATATGTTGATGACTTTTACATTTTTTTCCTTTGATCCTATAAAATGCCTTCTTATCTAAAAATTAGTTTTATACTCCCTTGATTCAGAATATTCTAATTTTATTTTGAACTTTTAGGCATTTTATAGTTATAAATTAATGATAGTTTTTATGTTTTCAGGTCATTTTTCATATTTTAATACGTCATTTTTTGTAGTTTTTGTATAAAGTGGGGCATTTCTTTCGAATTTTCCAACAAAAATCACTAACGAAATTTGTTCAAAAATTAATTTTATATTATTATAGGTGGGTTTTTGTTGTAACTAAATATTTTATTCCATACCGATACAGGTTTACCGTAAACGTGTTATAAATTATAATTTATTATACAAATGTAATTAGTTGTATTACTAATAATTGACATTCTATCTCTAGTTATTAGTATAGGTACCTATATTTATACACATATGCCGATCATATACACGCTTATCGAGCCTAACATCATCAATATTCAATTGTATGGAATAAATCCGATTAACAAGATTTATATGACATAGATGAATTAATCAACGTATTATAATAAATTGTAAAAAAAACTAATAACAGTAATTTATTATTCAGCATTCATTTACACCGATAACTTTTAAAATTCCGAAAGCAAAATCGTGCGTAAGTACCCGCTTAGATAGTTATGACAGTGAATTCGGCAACGATTTGAAAAACAAATTTTCTATAGAAGGTAAAGTTTTATTTTGTAAAGTGTGTGATGTCAAAATATCTGCATTGAAACGATTTGTGTACTTATGAGTCATAAGTTACTTTTGCTGTTCAACAGCTGTTTGAAAAATCAAAAATACGCTCACAGTTATTTTTTATAATTATATAAATTCAGGGGCGGAGTGGCTCAACAATTCTTACCGGGCAAACAGATATTTTCAGGCCACATAAATTTATTGGTTGTTCACATTTCACATTATTAATTTGTTTTCGTTGTTTTTACAGTCATCAAAAATAGCTAAATATTTTAAATATTAATTATTTTCATCACACCAGGACCAGGCCACTTCTTATATAAGCAAGCCAAACCACCGGGCATTGTCCCGGTTGCCCGGCGGGCCACTCCGCCCTTGTATAAATTTAAATGTTTATGAAATTGTATATTTAAACTTAAAATAACAATTTTACCCAAAACGATTTTAGTTCCTTATACTGTAATTAAAAATATGAATCATAGAAACTTGAAACACTTGACTGTTACTTTTAAATCTAGTTATAACTTATAAATTATAATATGAATATCATTTTCTACTCATACATGTCCCAATGAGATTTTCAAAATATTTTGCCTCATATTTTAAGTTATTATTTATCTCATAAACCTGCACACAAATGACAAATACACATTTTGAGGTAGATTCGTTGGTATTAATTTACAATGAATTGGTGAAATTTTTTGCTGAAATTATTTCCATCTACATAATCAACTTACTAATAATAAAAACCTAAATAATAATATAAATATAATATAGCATGACGATCCTTAAAAACAAAAATTAACTGGTGGTTTTTTTCACTCAAAATCGTTTTTTTCGCATTGAGACAATGATTTATCATTGAATTACTATTCATCACATTACACATGATTATTATACAGTCCTGCTCAATGAAAAAATACAGTTGAAACCTATAACTAATTTATATAGCCGTGTCAGTTTCTTGGTTTTTTCATTATTATTATTCTCTCTCTATACCTATATATACTTATATTATAAGCCTTGACAGCTACCTAGGTTTATGGCTTATTGGACTATTATTTTAAAGGAGAAACATTTAATATAATTTTATTTATTTGAGTCACGAAAATTTTCTGTAATAAAATGACTACAATAATTGTTGTAAAGGTTAACTGTAAAAAAAGCCTGTTAAAAATTCTCACACATGCTTATATTTATAATATAGGTACCCACCTGATACCTTTTATATGTTATTGTTATTAATTATTATTATTATTATTATTATTATTTTCATAATTTTTACCTTTAAATTTATTCCGGATGTTTTTCATTATAACGGTTGTAGGTTTATCGTTAGTCGTTCAGAATAAGACTACAACAGAACTCGAAAACAATATAACTCATAAGCGAACGAGCGCAACAACAGTTACAGTGAATCCATCATAGATATACCAATACACTTTATACATTTATAATTTATGTACTGCAGGGTCAGACTGGACAGGCGGGATACCGGAGGGCTGCATATTTTACATAATCTAACAAAAATGTTATTATTAGCATTTAGCACTTATACCTAGTATGCTAATGAATAAACAATACATATTCATAATGACACTACATCATTAGTCATTACTCATTACAATTAATTCGACCAGACATCACTCGTCAATAATAAAATATATTAAAGACGTTTAATGAAAACGCAACAAGTATTCTTTATTATTAATTGTGTATCATTTACATGAATACCAATGAACCTTCATTTTCAAATTCTATCTCACGCAGGCAATTGTACTATTATAGCCACTGTAGCACAAAAATTCAAAAAATAATTTTAACATTAAAATATTATAGACTGAACAGTTGAATCTAGACGCACAACTGCAAAGTGCTTTCCCCATTATCATTCCTGTAATCTTAAAGATTAAACATTTATTTGAATATTATACTATCCGTACTATTTTATATGTATATTGCAACTATTTGTTGTAAATAACAAAAAAAGGCTGAATAGTTAAATTAACTTTTAACCAGGTTAATCAAGAGCTCATGGATATAGACTTCTAGATGCAAAATATATTTCACACTGATATTTGTAATCATAAGTAATAGTACTATAGAATCAATTTTCACCTAATATATAAATCGTTAAAAACTCTCAAACATTCACTCTTAAACGCATATTCCCAAATCTCAGGGCACCAAATTTTTTGAGTGCCCCTATACCAGGTATATTTATATTGGCCAAAATATAAAAATTTAATATGGGTTCCTCTATATGGAGAAAAAAATATAGGTTTTAAAAATATTTAGGAAATATTTATAAGAATTATATTTATTTATTTATATTTATTTTAAGAAATTCAAATTGTATATATTAATATATTATTATCTCAGAGACGTTAAGTTAAACGCACATTTCCATTCTAAATTATAAAAATAATAGACTGAGAACTACAATGCATAATGATTGTTTACATTTTTTATCAGTTACGACTTATGAGCATTAGGTATTATATTGGACAATTTGTCAATAAATTATTATAAATATATGACATTGCCGAGAAATAAATCAAGAAATGTATCCAATTTGTAAGTGTTGTTTCAATATATTTATATTTGTTTTTAATCAAACACTTTTTAGCCTAACATTATTCTGTATAACTATACATATAACTAAATTTATAGGCGATACTATACTGTATGCACTTTGAATTCATACAATTATAAAATACAAACATTTATTTATAATTGAAACTAAAAATATATTTTATACACGGTAAGTGTACAATTTTTGCTATGGACCACCCTGCACCCAGGGGCAAAATCTTCTTTACACCGGGCCCTTAAATTAGCGAATTTGGCCCTGTCTCCTCCTAATTATTGATTGCCTAGTTTAAGTTTATATTGATCAATTTTTGTTTGAAGTAAAGAAGTAGCTGATTACAATAACCTCATATCTACTTATCAAAACTTATTATACAAATATATCTGCATGAACTGTATTCAATTTAATTTGATTTTTTTTTCCAATACTCCCATGCCACAATAAAACAAATATAGACTATTGATTGAACTATGGCCCCATTATTTTATCTATATATATTATTACATGTGTCCTTAAAAGTGTTGTGTAAACTTTAGTCTCGGCATCAATAATAATGTGTTGATTTCTAATCAATCAAATACACCCTCCGCGATGATAACTATTCATATAATGTTCATATTATGTTATACAAACGCAATATCCTCTATCAAAATATTTACTAAATAAAAATGGCAGTACAATTTTGACGACTTCCATACAAATTTAGTAAACTTTTAAAAGAAAAGTGTACTGCCATTAAAAAATGAAGTTTTATGACCCTCGCATAATATAAAGGTGCCCAACTATTAATAATCAACTTTATCTACTTGCAGAGATTCTTTCAACTAAATATAAACTCTTAATTCTTTTTTTAATAACACTATTTGTATATGCTACGTATACATACTAAGATAAAGTAATTACTATAAATTATAATTTATAAAGGTATATAAGCCATTGTATAAATCCGCATTCCGAAGACTGGTTATAACTGGACCTATACTTGCCAAATACGCAAATAATTTGACATAATATTTATTATGTATCGAATATTCAACCAGTGCACAATAAGTTAGTTCTCACTACTGGGGTACTTGAAAAGAACACTATAATACTTGAACACTTGTACAGTTGTACAAGTAGGTATAGTCAAGTACACCAATTTCACAGCTGACTGTTGTAACAATTTTAATATTGGCGATGAGCACCACATTTTAATAATAATTTAATATTTTCATGTTTTTGTGAAAATTAAATTAGAAATTAGTGTGATTATACCCCTAAATTAATATAATAAATAGAAACCTATATTCGTTCACCATTTAATAAATTGGACGCACCATAGCTCCGCATGAATAAAAATATTTTGTGAATCCGTAACTCCGCATGCACCGTATCTCCGCACGGTCGAAAATACAAACGCACCGTAACTCCGCATTCTAAAAATATTTTAACCCAAAGATGCACGAATTAAAAAAATTATTACATACTTAGAAAAAACATACATAACAAACGATGCAACATTTCCACCCAGTATTTGGGCCAAAAAAGAAGCGACGTTGGAGAGAACTACAAACAATAATATACAATTTATAAATAAAAAAAATCGAATTATATAATAACAACCAAATAGATAGATATAGTTTTGTAAAAAGTTTGGCTTCGTTTAATAATATTTTATTTTTACTTATTTTAACTTACATTATAATTTTAACGATTTTTCGTTGTATGCATTAATTATTATAATTTTTGTTAGATACATTTTATACCGACAATGACGATTTTTTTTGTATGCATTAATTATTATTAATTTTATATTTTATAATTACCTAGTATTACCTGCAGTCTAATATTATTTTTATTTAACTTTAATAATATGTATTGTATTTTGTATATTTTAAACATTAAAAAAAATATGTGCGGAGTTACAGTGTCAAAAAAAATCTTTTATGCGGAGTTAGGGTGTTTAAAAAAAACTTCGTATGCGGAGTTAAGGTGTCGAAAAAAAACCTTGTATGCGGAGTTAAGGTGATATATTATAAAATGGCGACGATCCGTGCGGAGTTACGGCGCACCGAATAAATTAAACTCACATATTTAGATGTATTATGAATATAAATATATAATATAAAAAATAAATTACCTATAACTTAAATTTCAGTAATAAACGATATTATAATTATTATAGTTGTACATTTATAATATTTTCATCCATAAGCACGATGGTGATTTTATTTTGCCACTTCCTTTGTATTCAAAAATATAATATAATATGTACAAAAAAAAGAAATGAATTTGCTCTGAAATCTACTGCATAATAGGTTTCTAATGTAACTCGTTAGAGGCATCGTTGATAAGATAAGTCGCAGTAATGCATGTGTTAAATTTAAATTCATTATTCAATGATAAATTATACATCGTATACTTACAATTAGTCTTGTAAAGTTGTGAAGTAGCCAAGTAGGTATTCAAATACTGTTTTAAATACTTTTTGAAAAAACTGTGGTCAGGATTCCTCCCATTGATTCGTGTCTATAGTACATGTTAGATTTTGTGTTTTTACATGATTAAGAAAAACAAATTTTATCATACGATTCAAAGGATTTTGTAAGAAAATTGTAAACATTTTATATATTAATTTCGTGATTTTTTTTTTTGTCATCAATTTACAATGCCAGTACCTAGCTAAAGCTACTCCCAAAATATATTTTTCTATCTTAAAAAGGTTGAAAACTTATCTTAGATCAACTATGAATAAAGTAATTTAGGACAATAGGACATATTTATTAAAAAAGTTATAACCAAACTATACAGTATATTTTTAATTTATTTTGTATTTAAGATCGGCTAAATTTACAAGCATTAATGTTTATTCATCGGGAGTCGGGACATACCCCCACAATGTGGATGCAATTAATAATAAAATGGCGCTAAGTCCCCTAGGTGATTAGATATTGTTTTGTTATCTCACAATAAAATGTTATTAAATTACAATAAATAGTTGATAGTTCTTAAGTTATCGTGTTTTTTTGTAGCACTTAAATATAAATTTAAAATTGTTGTAATCGTGAATAACTAACTAGATACCTATGTTAGCAATTTATCAGTTAACTAGTGCACTGTTTACATAATTAGTTGGTTAATCATGGTTTTATTATTATTACAAAGTTTAGGATACAAATATATATATTTTATAAAATAATTAAAAACTCAACAATTTTACATGGACTTATAAATATAATCTGGTATATATTGTATTCAAAAAACAGTTATTTGCCCTGTGTTCTGAAAATTATCTGGACCCTCCCCATGACAAATTCCTAAGTGCCTAACACCACTGTTGGGAGGTGTAGTTTGTTGCCTATTGTAGATATCTGTCATAAGTGAGTAGGTACATAATATCAGCAACTCTATATCAGAGGTTCCCAAACTTTTACGACCACGGCACCCTTAAAAAATTATTTGTGTTTCGCGGAACCCTAATGTCTAATCCAACTCAACTACAATTTTTGTAAATTAAAAAAGGAAAATCAATTCCTTAAACTCTCAAGTCCAAATAATATTTTAGTGATACTGTTAATGACTTTTCATTATTAAACTTAGTTTAAAAAAAATTTTCAATCAAACATTTTTTAAACAACAAACATTAAATAAACATAATTTTCTCAATAATCTCATACATCTAACGGAACCCTTGACATTGTCCCACGGAACCCTTAGGTTCCGCGGAACACACTTTGGGAAACGCTGCTCTATATATTATCCTTGTCATTTATTATAGTTTTCTTTAAGTACATTATCAGCTAATATAATTTGATGAATTCGCTTTAGGAATCAGGACTAACATGACGTTTAATTTTATAATTCCTGAATGGTTTTTTGTCAAACCATTTTTTAATTACAGGTGAATCGTGACTGTCAAGATCATAATAATGTACCTATAATTTGATTGAAATTGCCATTTTTTTCATCTCCGTCTCCCTCCTCCATATGCCAAACCTTGTCAGTCTAGAATAGGTACCTATATGGCTATATATTTAATCACAATTAGATATTATTGTTCCATTTACAATGGTTTTATCCAAATAGGAATGAGAGCTAGGTATTCAAATTCAAATAACTTCATTTATTGTCTCGTGAATTGAAATGTAAAATAAAAGACATATTTGATTACCTATACAGAAATAATGACGTACCATTCGGTACTGTCTGTACACTCATTTGTGCATATTGATATTATACCTACAACCTACCTAAAGCTATAATAGGCTGTACTGCTGTAGTTGTAATCACGTGTAAAATAATATATTATTATTTGCGTTGTAGGTATTTGTGGAGTATGTGGTTGTAATAATTATTAATTGATTATTAATTGTGTTACTTGTTTACAGTTTACTAATATTATACTCATGGGTATCAACAAAAAATATCAAATAAATACCTAATGACTGATGATTAATGGCTAATATTTGCCATGATATTTGCCATTTGCACCTACATTAAAAGTTAATGCGTAATGCGAAAAAATTGAATAACGTAACCCAACGATCGAGTTGTCTTTGATCTAATGAAATTGGCAACCCTGTACCTTTGGCACGATATCCGTTATCGTTCCTCGTGTTTACATTTTGATTTCGACGTCTTTCAAACCTAGAAATTCGACCTGTACCGATGTACCATATATTTTCTATGCCTGTACGCTATACCTACGGTACTCTTAGTTCAGATATAAGATTTTCGTTGCGTTAAAGCTTTTCGCTCAGCACAACTAACGTGCAAATGCTTATTCTCAAATTAGACAAATTTCTATACTTCCCGTCAAATCGACTGACCACGAAAAGGTAAAATTTGAAGACTACCGCATATAGGTGCTCGATCAAACGCGATTGCTGCTGCTGAACGTTCATCTGTCACCAGACACTCAACAGCCAAGATGGACGATTCTGAACTGGAAACCCTGCGCTCAAAGCGGATGGCCCAGATGCAGTCAGAACTCGGTGGAGTAAGTGAAACTCTAGACCTATATAGGAAAACAGTCATGGTGTATTGCTTTTTTTATCATCATTATACACTAACTGGATATTTGTGTTAATGTAGTCACAAAGTGATAATCCTGAAAAGCAAAAACAAGCAGAACAACAACGGCAGGCGGTTGAAGACATGAAACACTCAATTCTTACCCAAGTATTAAACCAAGCTGCTAGAGCAAGACGTAAGATTTTAGTATTTTAAGTCAATCAACATATGGGCATCAATGTGTGTTTTGTTAATATAGTGAACACTTTGATGATTGGTAAACCGGAAAAAGGACGTATGGTAGAAAACATGTTACTCAGAATGGCTCAATCTGGACAGATTGTCAATAAATTAGGAGAAGATGAACTAATCGGTTTGTTAGAACAAGTTAACAGTCAAATGCAGTCACAAGAACGTAAAACTACTGTCAAGGTAAATTATCTTGACCAGTAATTATTCTAACAATAAATTATATAGTACTCAACATAATATTTATTTGCTTTAAATTTGCATTTTTCAGTTTGATCGAAGGAGAGCTGCTCTTGATGATTCTGATTCTGATTACTAATATTAAAATATTTTAATTTTAAAACATTACTCTATATTTATATATAATTTTGTACTAACGCGTAAGTATCTATTATGAATTTAATGAGATTTTAACAAACATTATTTTACTGTCCAAAAAATAATAATCTACAAATTGAGCTTTGTTATTTCCTTAAAAAAAAATATTAATAAACAAAATTATATTTTTGATCTTACTAACCTAAATTATTATACCTGGCTACATAATTCACACTATTGTAAGATACAGTTTATATTTTATCTTATCTACAACTGGTTCATGATAATTCTATTATTATATTTCATGGACTTTTGGTTAATAGTAAATTATGACTTAAGTATGATCATTTATGAAAAATATTTTATTACTAATAATGTTAATAAAATGTAATAGTTTTGGTGTTATAAAAATTACCATCTGATATTTCTTATCATTTGAGTCTAAACCATTAATATATTTAGCAATATTTGTAAGTTATACAGTTTTAGTACTTTATATATGAATATATTTAATTAAATAAATGCTAGGCAAATTATTTCTAATTGGTAATTAGGATTTTTTTTTCTAAAAATTAACTTAAAGAAGTGTGACTTTGAGACTGACACAACTAAATATTTCTGAATAATATGTGTAATGTGCAAATGTATTTTGGTACAGTTCAAATAAGTAATTCAAATAACTTATTTTAAATACACAAATAATGTATAGGTTAGACTAATTCCGTACAAATTACACATCAAATTTACATATTGACCCAGCATCACTGAACTTATTTTTTTATTTTGTTCTCATGTCTAGTAATTATTTAGTTGTATTAATATTTAATAGTACAAAATTAGCAATTTTATATAATAAAATGTTATCATAGTAAGTATAATTACCTTGAATTTGGCTCTTTGAATCGATACTTTGGATATAATATGTACATTACACAAACTATAAATAGTATTTAAATAAATTCTAAAAAAAAAGAGTGTATGATCTAAATTCTAAAACACATTGTTAAATTAATTTAACTTTTTATTTTATTGCGGCATAACTTAATTAGCCAAAATGTACTCTTTTAAAGTATTCTACTAGCTCATATCCAAATGGAACAACTGTTTGTGTATTTAATAATTTAAAAATGGATATGATTTACATAATACCATAATTTATACTGAGTGTAGTATTTCTTTAAGTTGTAAGCTATTGCTTTTCTAATTATTCATATCAATCATCAAATGTCAAATATTAATAAGTAATTTTAAAATTGAACAGGTTAATACAACAAAACTTTATTTTTATCAATAAAATATATTTTATTTTGTTAATCATATCTACAACTAAAATGTCTCTGTAATAACATAATAAGTTCTATTTAGTTAAAAATTAATGTATTTGGTTAACAATCATGAAAAAAGTATCCCACATTTTGTTTTTAGATGAATATACTTGTGTCCCTTTATATAATAGTTTCATAGAAACGTACAGTCTGTTGAAGTATTTGTAAAAAAAAAATGTTACTATTGCTTTATACTTGCGTTCTAAATAAAAAATGGGAAAACAACTTTAAGCATTGGATGGCAATACATATAATACTAATAATAATAATCATTATATAGAAAACAAAACAATTGAGGTCCAGTCTTGGCAATAAATCTGCACAAAATGTAAACAAGTACTTATAAAACATAATGAAGAAATAATTTCCATTATTATATATTGTGTACAACTAATATAATTGTATAACAGGAATGTTATGTAACATTGTTATCAGTTGTATCACTTGGGTCAACTGACAATTGGGTATTGGAAGTCTGAATGGTATCCTGTTGCTCGAGGCGTGCTGCCACATTGTTCAAGTCCTGGTAGTTATCCCTCAACAAACTGTATGGAAATTTAATATATTATCAATTCCCTCCAAAACTGAATTAAAAGCACATCATTCGGATTACAATCTATTTAAACAAAAACTCACTTAAGCATTATCTCGGCGTTTCTTGTACCATGACGTATCTGTTCCGCAACTGATATAGTCGATGGAATCGTTGATAAATTTCCAGGATTAAGGCCTTGTTCTCTGGCCCTTAATAACGTTCTCAAAGATCTCACTTGATCTTCAGCTCTTTGAGCTCTTATCTATAAACAATATATTTAGCTATATTTTTTATTTGTGTTTGAAATTTGTTCAATGAATTAAATCACCTAGTGCATAGGTTTCAAAAGTATGTATATTTAAATTTCAAATTAGTATTTCATAAGCTGCACATTTGAGTTGTATTAAGTATTTTTATCGGTGTTCAATTTATCACTCAAATTAAAATAGTAACTTACCAGAGTTTGTTGTAACATATTATTTAAATTCAATATAGTTGTTCTTAAGTCTTGTTCTGTTGCTTCTAGCCTAGCCACCCTAGCATCAACTACTTCACTGTGTCTAAAACATAAAAATATTTAGTTATAAAATATTGTTTAAATTTAAGATCATTTTATCTTTGATTAATTGGGTTGCCATTTATTAAAAATTATTAATATTGCAATAACTCCTTCCCACCAAAAAATACTGAGTGTCATAATGAATATAATGGTACACCCTAGTACCAGCTAGTATCAGAACACTTCTTGGTGATGTAAACAAATGAACTTAATATTATTCAAATCAATTGTTAGAAGACACATTTTTTTTATATTGTAATTCTAACTAAGTATACAATACACAAGTTACGTAATAACATGGGACTAAAGCTTAGAAACCTGACATCTCAAAGCAGAAATTAATATCCCAACCAGCACACTGTACTATACTTAAAACAGGCTATGAGTGTTCCGGGGAAATTAGAAAGAATGGCAACCCTAATTAACAATAACAGTCAAGTAAAATGGATATAATTAACCGCAGATAAAATGATGGAAGGTAATCAATGCCAAAATAAAAGAAACCTTTGAAACCTGGTATAATTTTGGTTAATTGGTGTAGCACCACGTTGAGGATTTATGGTAATGCTTATACGGTTCCGATCAGTTAACTGTTCATTCCTGGTGACCGGATGAACAACCGGAACACCGATTGGGCCATCAGATAAAAAATCTGGCAAACTGTTGGTAGTTGTAGGTGTGGTAGCACGAGGCTGTGTTGTTGCATTGGTGAATGGAAGATCCAGTGGCATAACCACACATTGCTGAGGTGTACGGTTGCTACGGTTGCCAAACATAGATGGCCGATTTATCCCACGTGTCAAATCAATACTATTTGACCGTGAATCCAGATCACTGCTGTCATAAGGTTGATCAGTAGTCATATGATCCTGAACAAAGTCTGGTAAGGTTGATGTCTCTGTTAATGGCCTCACTGGTTGTGACACACTAGGCACAACTTCAACTTTGGGTTTTGATGTTTGATTGTGTCCATTGTTGCATAAAAAATGTCTAAATGATAAAAGATTATCTTCACGCTTGATACTGCAAGCAGTAGCTTCTCCAGAGTCTATTAGAAAATACATTTTTATGATTAACATTTTATAAATGATTAAATTTGTAACAGATACAAAGAAACTTTAAAAGGATAAAATAGTATCTGCTTTACAATAAATTATTTTTAAATGTACACCACTAAAAGGCTAGAAATATTCAATGATTTAATTAAGTTCAAATAGTTTATTTTTACTCAATAAAAGTTTTTTTGAGAAGCTAAAAATGTAAATAAATATACCTAGATAGGTACCTATGTTTTATTAAGTTAATACAAATACTTTTTTTTATAGCAGATCAAATTACAAAATTTAAATATTAAATTAAAAATTAAGTCATTTTTATTAATTAAATGTGTTATAAATATTATTAACTACCTTGCATTGAGGGCTGTTGATAATAAATTAACAATAAAAGACCTATAAGTAAAAAATTGTGTCAACCTACAGTTAAATTAAGTGAAAGGTGAAAGGACCAAAGAATGCAGTACCACAATGCAACATTCCAATAACTGTGCATTTTCAATTACACATTATATTCAAAGTAGGTCCTACCCAAGATTTAACATGTTAATATATCATAGATAGTATAATATATGTAAAAGATGTAATAACATTTTATTGATAAGCAACTATTCCATAACTACCTAGTATTTAAATATTTTTAAACAAACTATGGAGTATGGATTAAAATAATTAGTTAAATATTTTGTAATTATTCCTTATATTATGATAAGATACATTATATTTTTTAGCCAATGATTCCAATTTAAATGACTTCTTGAAATAATTTTTTAAGACAACTTTTATGCGAATAAAATGTAAGAATTTAAGTTTAATTTTCAAGCTAACAATATATAATAATTGTGAATGGTAAATATGAATTATACAAATATGTGTACTTACCATTTACATTTAAAGTATTGTCATGACGTCTGCTATCCGTATGAGTACCCAGACCGATGTCCAATTGACACGGAGGAGTGTTCTCATTACCGTTCACTAATAAACTATCTGATTGACTATTACTATCACCTTCATTACTCGGTGGATTAGCTACAGCATTGTCGACGTCATTTAATGTACTTTTGTCTTCTTCTTCGGACATAGTGTAAAGATATCATATATATATATACAAATATGTTATATGGCTCGATGATTATTCTGCGAATTAAGAGATGATCAGTCGTCTCCACATGGCACTACCTAACTGTTGATGCAAATGCTAGGATAATTATTTCATTAAAAATGTTATTCATAAGTAAACAAGTCAAAATATTTTACTAACTGAAACAAGAGGCAAACGTTTAATTCTTTAATAGTTTAATGTTTAATCAATTTACTTTTTTTTTTCAAAATTATTTGCAAAATGCTAATGTAATAGCGACACATTTGACAAAACAAAATTGAAGAGTAGGGGTTATAGTGATAATGGATCCAGTGTTTCCCGGTACACGATATTAAATTCTTCTTTTTTTCTCGTGATCACCCGAAAGTATGTAAACGATTGAAAATATATTGAATAATATCCTAATCATAGAAAATAAAGAAAATATGAATAGGCCATCAGACTCTTAGCGGTGTTTCTAAACTGATAAAAAAGTGAGGCGATTT